TTTGTCCCTGTCAGAGCTTTGCCATCATGTGGACAGGATAAAGCGGATAAGGAAAAGACCAGCCGTTTTCTCTTGGGGCCCCTCCCTCACCCGAGGGAAGCGCCTGACTTGCAGCGCCTGTCCAAACACTGGGTGTGCAACGGCAAGCCTGCTTATGAGAGTCCGTGGACTGCAGCACCCAGGACACCTGCGGCTCACCACCCAAGCGATGGCCACCTCATGGCCCTGGTTCAGGCAATTTAGGTGGGTGACATTTGTGCGCGCTAGTTGGGCATCCACACACATATTATCGTTTTACCGTTAGAGAACCACGCCTTCACTGCCGCCAGTCCTGAGTGTGGGTCAATATTAATGGTGTGCTACCCATGGGAGGCCTTGTGTGGGTTGGGCTCGGAGCACGCAATTCCCATAAGTGAGATACCGAGGAGGGTGAAAGAAACTCTGGTAACCAGGGTAACCCAGTTCCTCTGAAAAACCAAGTGACGGTACTCACAACACGCCCTGCTGCATGGATAGGGGTACTGGAAGAAATACGCTTGAATCCGCATGGTGCACCCAGAGGCTTAATAAAAGGAGGAACGGCAGGCCGATGATCTGGTCTGTCCCAGGACAGACGTGTGTACTGGAGCTCCCATGAGTTGCACCGCCAGGGCCTCTCCCATAGCTGAATACCTCACTCGTGTTTCAGAGAACCGGGGCCGTTACCAATGTAACCAAAAAGATTTATTACAGACCCAACAACCAGAGTTGCGTGATTGTGGAAAGACGAAGAAAAGACATTTGGTGAGTCTTATTATTTCTGTCAGTTTGAAGGTTGTTATACTTACTACAAAATAAAATGACAATTTTAAATGTCAATGAGTCGTCGCGCTGTAACGCGCATTGTTTTGGTCTGAGATGCTAGTGTTTTGGAGGTGAATTTTGTATATATAATCTTTAAAGTTTGAACCATAAAGGTTTTTTTGGCATGTTCTATACTATTATTTGTCTCTGGTGAAGAATAATAACCAACAATCTGATATGCAACAATGCTTTTTAATAGAAATATGATGTCAGTTCTGCAGAAGTCACTGCTATGATCTGTATCCCTGTCATCAGATCATCTTATCACATACAATCCTAAAATAGCAAGACAGGGTATCCTGCTAAGCTGTGAGTAATTGTTTCATATGAGAACTTGCATTAAACAGAACACAATATTCTCATATCTGTTGACATGTGTTGTTTAGCTGATTGAGAGGATTATATTTAAGGCCAGTTTGGGATTTCCAGTGATATGGAAGAGTATCCTAGTAGCCTTACCATCAATAGCAAAACAAATCCACACACCCGTCTGTCATGTGTGTATTAAAGTCACATTGACTGCTGTAGTATTGTTAATCTGAGCAGCAGTGAGGGTGCCAGCCTTACATAACTAGTGGCACGACAAAGCTGCTACCTGGAAGGGGGGGATATTAACTCATGCCCAGTTCCAGCTGTCAGCAGAGTGTCCTCCCCACTCCTACTCACACCATATGCCACATATCACGTGCCAGACTCAGCGATGCCTGAGCTCCTGCTGACATGATGCCTTGGTGGATGTAACACCAGACACCTGCTGAGAAAAAAGTCTGCACCAGCGGTGCTTACAGGGTGGGATGGGTCTGTGATTTTGCTCTGTCTCAGATCTCTCTGCAGCTGGGTTACAGGAGGCCACAGCCAGAATCCAGCAGTGGTAAAAGGGTCTGTCCAGAGGGATATAGCTGTGTATGCTCCCTAAATTACAGGGTATGACAGCCTGTTTTCTGCGCTTCAATGTTCAAAATTTTGGCTATAGATTGAGACTGAAAAAGTGAAGTTTTTGTGTTCGGGCGTGACAATCGGGCACAGATGAAATGTCCTGTGTGTGGTTTTGCCAGAAGATTTCCTTTTGCTATTTTGAGCTGACAGCATCAGCGAATTATTCCACGTCACTGGTTATCAGATGAGACCCATGAATGCGTCATAGCGATGCTCCACTTAGTAATTCCTGTTGGCCCTTGTAGCCCTCAGTAGCACTTCCGTGTGGGCTGTTTTCAAATGGGGCATGAGGCAAGAGAGCGCCAGCCAGTGCTCTCTCCCTGACCTTACAGTGCCACAACACTTAGTATCAACATCACAGAGGAGCAAACACCATAAATCAAGTAACCATAAGTTAAAATGCAAAACAGCCTGTTTATGGGCACACAGCCTGCAGAACAGGCTTATTGATAGTATCACGGTTCTGCTTTCCTGAGAGCTCCACTAAACCCTGATGGCGTCATTTTACTCCACGTCTAACTCCTTAAAATGGAATTATCGTTGAAGCAAAAACAAAAGCACATAATCCATATGCATTCACAATGTGAAATAAAAGCAAACATTTTATTAGCTACATGTGGGGATTTATCTTTCTACTGAATTTTTTATCAGGCTAATTATTTGAGTCACTGTTTATATGGACTTATTTCTCCCTGTGGATGAAATTTCATAATGTCTGTAAGTAAGAAAGTTACACTTATAGGCTACATAATGATGATTAATCTAAGAAATAAATGTGTTGGAGAGAGACTTTTATTTTGATTTATACCAGCCGATGTTCAGGCATATTAGTAAGTGTAAAGCCTGAAATTGGGCAATAGGGGAATATTTCACTTGTGGAGGCAGTTTTCTGGGTTTTTGCAAGTACTTTTTAAGATGTGTGAGCTCTCCCTTATGTCTTTACTGCTCAGTGCTAATCTAATGGAACTCAGTATTTTTGATCATTCATCTAGCAAAAAAGAAAAGAAAACAGAAATGAAGTTCCCCCAAGCAGGGCTGGATAAGAGCATTCAGGACACCAGAGGCAAAAATGCATTGTGGGCCCCCCTCATCCTCCTGCTCTCTTTGCATCGCATGGGCACCCAGTCTCCTTCAAGTGCTCAATATGTACAGTAGACCAGTAGACACAGCAGACTACATATGGTAGCGTCATTATAGTTTTTATTTCGATATTAGACAGTAATCTAATGCCGGAATGCTGCTTTTGTTAATTATTTAGTGTTAATTTGATCAAACAATATATACAATGTACATTTATATAGGAATGCAGTATTTATGTAGTATTGGTTTTAAGGTATGTGTCCAGGTTTGTGCCTCCAACACAATGGAGGTGAATGTAATTTTGTCTGTGTTGCACACAGCACTGAGTAATTACATGTATGTTTAACAGTGCATATGACTTGTTGCAGAATTGTTGAGGTTTATGGTAACATAATAGAATGCTGCTGGGATATTGGGGAATAAAACAGCTGCAGCCCATAAATGAGTAGCTCTGTGTTTTGTGAAATTCATAGTTTTCTTTCTGAGAGTGAGATGAGAAGATTTTTATCAATCTCATGTCTGTGTGAGTTCCCTGAATTATAACTACGCCTCTTCACCAGCAGCCCACAAACAGATCAATGACAAGAAACTGTAGCGGACCAATATCAGCTTCATTACTCAGTCTGCGACAATAAGCAACCTTTATGATACGAGTTAGCAAAACGTGCTAATTGCATATTAACTTGCGTAACTTGCAATCTGTGACAGCTGATAGTTTATGTTATTTTAAGCTACAACTTGCTCTATTTAGCAGTGTGATGAGATTAGAGTAGGTGGATCGCAGAAGCCTGAAGTATATGGCACAGGTTGTTAGTGGGATTGAAGCTAGCTGGAAGCTTCCGTACAGCGATTCAAAATACGGATCATCAGTGTTGCCAGGTGGCATATGTGGCAACGTTCATCTGGAAACTGCTCAGGGAATTCCACACATGAAGCTAAAAACATTTAACAAATTACCCTAACTTCCAGTTTAGCCCTTCGTTAACTTGAATGGGGATAAAATGATTTAATTGTGCAGCTCTAAATGTTATCGGACCAAATGGGTCAAATTCTGATAGTGAACCGAGCCATTTTGCGGGAGTTGTGACATTCAAAAAAATTTTGCTCAATCAGTTTATGAACTCATCAACTGATTTTGACCAGAGGAAACAAACTATAGGTGTGAAATCACCAGGCAACCTGAAAGAGAGTGAGGGAATGGGACCACAAGCAGGAAACAACAAGGTGTGAGGTATGTTGTGTTCAAGTCTTGTTTTACTTTGAGATAAAGCTATTGAAATGTTTATCTTTATCTGACATGCTAAAACCAAGGCCCTAGAAGCGCCAATTTTACATAGTGGCCATACTGAGGTAATTACAGCAATGGCGTCCGTCATTTGATGCACACTGGCCAAAAAAATACTTTCTCCCAGAAGCTCCCCTTTCAAGCATGAAAGAAAAACTATCATTATGTGAAAGACCCTATCTAGAGCCAGTGTTTGGTTTGTCTTTCATGGGCTACTGTAGAAATATGGCGGTTCAACATGGCTCCATGGAAGGTGACCCATGGCATCTATATATAAAGACGGCTCATTCTAAGGTAACGGAAACACAATGATTCTCATATTCAGATGATTATACAGTAATGAAAACATACAAATAAATATGATATTCCATTTCTGCCAATAGATCCTCCTAAATGTTACACGCTGGACTTTTGATACATCCATAGTCATGAGTCATAAAAGCAATGAACTGACTCAGTAATGTCAGTAATACAACAATAACTATCTAGCTAACATATCAGAGCAGAAGTAAGGTTGCAGCCAAATCCTACTGAATTGTACTGCATGTTTTATTCCTTATTAACTCGTGTATTATTAACATTTTACTTGTAAGAGGTAAATATTTTTTCTGCCTTTAGGGCCTGCTGGATACATAAACCTGTCCATCATCCTCCTCACACAAACAAAATTTATCTTGTAAATTACTCATGGAAAGCTTCTGCAGAAAGTCAAATATCTAATTTGTTCACCCAGTCACACTTTCACAGATTAAATTCTCCTTGTGTAAATTCTACACAGGTCTAGAACAGAGAGAGAAAAACACCCTATCAATTCCACCTAATGATGCCGGACTGCTCCTCTTTGCATGGATTAGCAACTGTAAATCCACGGTTGCTTTGCCCTGGCTAGATTAGACGGGCTAGAAAGAAAATCCAAGTGAAAGGACGCATTAGGAGGAGGGTTCTTCAGAATTCCACGGGTGAAACGAGGAGAAAACGTGCTGTCTCTTTAATGCAAATGTCACTAATGCATGACAGGTTCTATCCAACTCATCAGATGTTAAATCTGAGGCAGACAGGTAGGAGGAGCTCCGTAAATAGATGTGCCCATCGAATCACAACAATATTCCACCCAAACAAATGTCTTCTACCCTTCAGCTTCCTGTATGTGTTTTATTTGTCGGGCCACAGTTTGGGACCGCCCAATGGGAGCGGTGCAGGTGCTGTAATTAGGATAACTTATCAATTTGTACAGCTCCACCTGCACCCTATTGATAATACAAACCATTTCCAATGTTGCTCTTGGTGTAGAAGCAAAAGAATCTTAACCAAACAATTAACATTTTTCTAGTCAGTATCTTTATTCTTTGGGATATGGGTTGACAACAAAGCAGTGTATTGTCTACATTTGGACAATAAACTGCTCCACAGTAAGGATTTGTCTGAATTAGGATTTTTCCCCATCCCAACACTGACGTCCCCATTGGCACGAAACAGTGTTGTTCTCCATATCGTTCCCCCAGTGAACGGGAAGCTGCCGTGTAAGAGGCTTTCATTAGTAACACTGCCGTCGCTCCTTTTGAAGCCAGGGGGAACCACAGCAGCAGCTGCTGCACACACACACACACCCACTTTCTCCCTCAGCCAAATGAACGTGCGGCAGTCTCGCAGGCAGCAGCGGGGCGCTCACACAAGTCCGCTTTTGATGATGTTTGAATAAGAAGATCGCATCCGTCTTCTTCTTCTAATTCTGCTGCAGAAGCTGGCTGCAAACAAAGACTGACGAACGCAAGACAAAAAGCCATCCTCAGTGGGATCCGCGCTCCCATCTGTGGCTGCAACTGTAGTCCCCAGAGGAGCATGAAATTCATTGTGGGACGTTTCATTTAGCTCCCCACCTCCTCCTGTGCTTGCACAGGGCCCGTTTATGCTAAATGCCACAGAATGGGACTCTTTAGTTCAAGAAATAAGCTTCTTATTTTTAATTGCCTCCCCAAATCCCGACAGCAGTGCCATTGTCCTGACACTCAAGGTGTAAAGCAAGGACACACAGTTGACTTTTGCTTCGGACCAACACTGATCAGTGTAAGATAAATGTGTCAGAATGTATTTACAGTGCGACAGAACCTGCTGAGGATTTCTCCGTTTCTATCTTTGTTCTTTGGCTTGGGGCTGTGAGTTCCACATCTCGCCTATTTCCTCTTTAGGTTTGGCAGTGGAGTGGAAGAGAAGACAGGTCTGAAAAGTAAACCTGCTTGTGTTTTCCCAGTCAGCATCGTCTCAACATTCACTTCACGCTCAGGTTCAAGAAAGGGAGAACATAATTCAAACCTGTTGGTGTGTGAAATCATTCACTTCTTTAAAGACACAATAACAACAGAAAAAAATTCTCATGTTGTCATTGATATGATCGCTGACTGTAAGCGATCTCCTGAAGCTCACTGAGTTTACCTGCGAAGGCGGGCCTCATGGTAAAGTCATGCTCGTCTATGCGCAGAAGGTGGCTGGTCTTCACCTTCCGGCTTTTGGTTCCATCCGCAACCTTCTTTGACAGAGGACTGGCAACGGGAAGACAGAGAGGAGAGCCATTAGAGTTTGGTCTTAAAGGGTATGGCAGGTACTATTCTTTATTTCTTAGTGTGTTTCAATATTTAACTTCCCAAACCTGATGCCTGAAAAGAATGTTGATAGTGGACGATTTTTAACCAGGGGTTTACTAAAATTGCCCATAATCATGATATTTAAGAATGACATGTTGATATCATCTTAACAATACACATATGATAATATTGTGTAAATAATCCAGCACCTCTTAAATAGGGGCATAAACCACCAGTGTCATTACGATGCATATTTCGTCATTGGAGGACAATACGATATTTGCCCATATCACAAAGTCTGCCAGGATAGGATTTTGTTTGGCATTGTTTGCATATGGCATGTGCCTGTTCCCACACAAAATACAGATGACAATATAGATCGATGTTTTCACTTTGTATTGATATATTGGATTGTTGAACATTGGTACTAATCTAGTTCAATGTTTTGTACTCTTAAATTAACCAAGAAGGACATTGTCAGTCATTTCAGCAAGTACTCTAAAATGATCAAGTCTAGCAGCTGTTGTAATAATAGGAACAAATGAGGAAGTCAGGATGTTATTATAGGGAGGAGGTGGAAGGATGGGTTAACAGGAAATCAGATGTTAACACAGCAGATCATGAGCCAAGATTGTTTTTTAAAATCACACGTCCAATAATAAGTGTTTATTACTGTAACCATGGTGGCTTCTTGACACATCTCTCTCCAGAAAAGCAGCAATTTCATTACGTTCACTCTCCGGATCGGCACCTCCCGGCTAATCTACCTTGACTGTATGCTGGATTTAGTGTGTGATACGGCTGTCACATAATGCTATGGTCCATGCCCTGTGTTGCACTTTGCTTTATGCCTGTGACATAAAGGACAAATTACCTTCTAAACTGACACCATAATGACACTGGGTGCAAATCAATGTCAGTGGTGTGGAATTGTCCAATATGAATGGATTTCTGAGGATACTGGCCTGGACTTCTCAGCTCCAAGCCCACTGGTTCCTACTGAAGGTAATTTCCTTAAACAGCAGGTCGATGTGGTTTTTATCAAACAAACAGGAGGAAGTAGTGCATTTGTTGGGGACTATTTTAAGTGGTGAACCAATACACTTTTGGTTCTCTAGTGAGTATCTGGGCAGCAGGATGGTGTATTTGACACAAGTGTGTGTTCATGGTAATGAAGGAACATGTCAGCCAGTGCAACAGTGTGGTTCACTGATGTGTTTTTGGACAACAATGGAGCCAGAGGAAGAGTTTAGATTTTGATACACACATAATATTTGTTAGTTTGGTTCTGCACAGGGATTCTGTTGATGAGAAGAAACACATAGAATAACCTTAGACTTATTTTTTATAATTAAGAATGGAGGGAGGGGAAGGAAAGAGTAAGCTAAATTACATATGTGAAGCACTCTGATATTTCTTGGTGGTAAAATTTTATTTAAACTATAATCATATGCGTGTAATCCTCCAGATTTTTTTCACATTGTATTCATTGCACTTCCTAATAAAGGAAACACATAACATGTTGCATTGAACAAGCTGACATTAATGTGTAAAACTGACAGCATTTGACACTAAACTTTTTTAGAGCCCCCATGCAACCACTCTAGATTCACCCCTGCTGTAAAAATGTTCTGCTTAGACTTACAGTGAACTCTTGGACTGACACAGAAGGGAGTCAAATCAAAGAATAGTGATGGAATAATTAGGAACCAAAATTTTACAGACAAAACGATTACAGGAGAAAATATGAGCTGCATTTTTGAAGAATGCAATGATGTATTGGCTGGTGCTAGTACAGTCTGTAAAAGCATGCACATTATAAGAGGATAACTTAAGCTCATGCTGAGGAATGTTTGATCCTGACAGGAGTGTGACAGGAGGAAATACCAGCCAGACAATATGCTTAAAGAGAAAATCCCTCCTTAACTTCCTCCACTCTCAGTCTGTCTGTTTGGAGTGTCCTAATAAAGGATCTGCATTCACCTGAGATAACATCCAGCATGGAGATGGATTTTCTTTGCTGATGGAAACACACGCACAAGTTTTTATGTATAGCTGAAGGACAGCGGATTGATCTCAGTTTGGTTCCCACAAATAAAGCAGTGTGAAGGCAGCGTGAAGGGTCCTGTTATTAATGACCACAACCTAAACTGAATGATTTAAGGCTGGAAATTGATGGAACAGGTTCTGGCCGTGCAGACTGCATGCACTAACATTCAGGCAAGGGACGATTTAGAGGGGTGACATAGGGCAGTGGCCACCCCAGTTTGGTGTCAAATGCTGTCATATGTCACACATTCATTTACATTCATATTAAAAGTAAATGCTACAAAATGAATATTCATTTATTGATCTATTATAGCTGTATTTTAAACTAACTTCAATGAAAAAAGGCATATATTATATGATGTATATTTGGAAATAAAACAATGTACTGATTTCTAATACCACCTTTTGGATATTTCTATTCAGTGCTTTA